ACAGCAGAACATTCAGATCTGTGTTTGTGCTGTCGCTGACCCAGAGAAAGCAGTTGCCAGGTACTAAACAGCTTCACAAATAGTATTTTCAAAATCACAGTATCATTATTTCTGTTACAAATATTCATAATATCATAGAAGTACTGGGATAAAAGTTTATAGTTCAGATATAAACACTGATGTCTACAGTAGTGATTAAAATATAGGAAATATTTACACGTTAAATAACGATTGAATCGATTACATCGTTACACCAGTAGGTGGCGACAAGTGACTGTTAAAAATGTATTTGTCATTGAATCATTCAATCAAGAGGTTCGTTCAATAACGCTGATTGAAACGTTTCAGTAATTAAACAAGTGAAGTATTAATGAGCGAGTCATTGAATCATTCATTCAAACCATTTTTTGTCTAAATTATTCATTCAAATTAAAGCTGCAGTCCGTAGCTTTTTTGGGTTAAAAATTATCCAAAATAAATTTTTGAAAAATACATAACCAGCCAAAACCTATCTGCTTGCCTTAGCTCGATTCAAAGCAGTAAGCTTGTAATAATGTTTTTAATTCCAGTGGTACTGGTGGATTTCCGCGGGAGATTCGAGCATGTCTTTGCGTCATGACGTCACATCTGTACACATAAAGAAGGAGTCTCGGCTAGTATAAGCTATATTGAGTCATGACGTCACATCTGTACACATAAAGAAGGAGTCTCGGCTAGTATAAGCTATATTGAGTCATGACGTCACATCTGTACACATAAAGAAGAGTCTCGGCTAGTATAAGCTATATTGAGTCATTACGTCACATCTGTACACATAAAGAAAAGTCTCGGCTAGTATAATCTATATTGAGTCATGACGTCACATCTGTACACATAAAGAAGGAGTCTCGGCTAGTATAAGCTATATTGATACATGACGCCCCATCTGTACACATAAAGAAGGAGTCTCGGCTAGTAGGCTATATTGCGTGTGAGGATGTTGGAGGTGGAGATTTATAGCCTTTTCTCACAGCACTTGATATAATTAAACTTATTAATTTGATGGCGGATCCAGAAAGGTTCAAACGACAATCATCAGTGACAACTGGAGACTCGGACTTCGGAGTGGCTACAGAAAAAAAGAGACTGCAACCGGACCCATGCGAAAACAAGGATACATATCGGAAGGACATTACATGTAGTCACGCAATGCTGACGTTGTTAACATTAACAATTTGAGAACAAAGTATAATTTTCACGGTTTTGCGTGATATGATAACTTATAAGCGATTGTTAGATTTAATCAGCGCGATTTTCTGCAATGTCAGAACCAGAACAAAAGTGGATGTTGCATACTTGTTCAAATGACATTTTCCGGCGAAAATTATAATGTTGGTCTTACTTCCAAAAAGAATAATCTGTGATTCTGAATGCCAGTATCGACACCGGCGTGGTGACTGACAGCTGCACAGTCTCCTCAAACACTGTGTTCATCCGCACTGTGCCGTGTCGAGGGTGTCGAAGTACAACTCATGTAAAGTTGATAATTCTGCGAATGACTGCAATTGCAGATTTCGAACAGAGATGGCGACAAAGAGGGAAAACTGCGGACTGCAGCTTTAAGAAAACATTTAAAAAAGACTGCAGCAGTTACCATTTTGTCAGAACCTCTAGTAAATTACATTATTGTGTTGTCTGTTTAGGATCATGGGAGAATCGCGATCTCTATTTGAAACAAAAAATCGTGATCATGAATCATGCAGCTCTACTGTCAATAGTCCCCTCAGACACTATGTGAGAAACTGGCATAACAAAAAAAGGTTTTATTTTGTGTCTGTGCAGCTGCCTTTAACCATGAAATATGCGGGTCAAAACATCATAATTATATAAATGCTGTACGCACATTCCACAATACGTCAGAGTGTCGACACTTTGCAGGCATGTTAATGACCCTTTATTAAAAATAAAAAAAATCACAAAACATCAAACCACCATGAATCGATGTGGGTCAAATTGAGCCGCTACATATATTCCCTCCACAGCACACAGATATGCCTGAGGAGATGCGGGTGGAAACCATGGAGCTCTGCGTTACGGCGTGCGAGAAGTTTGCCTCTAATAATGAGGTTAGCTCACATTCCCATCTAGGAGAAGTAGTTGAGATATTAATAAGATCTCCTTTGTGATTCCTAACGTTATTTCCTTCTCAACAGAGCGCCGCTAAAATGATTAAGGAGTCGATGGATAAGAAGTTTGGGAACTCTTGGCATGTGGTGATTGGCGAGGGCTTTGGTTTCGAAATTACACACGAAGTGAAGAATCTTCTTTACATGTTCTTCGGTGGAAGTCTGGCGGTGTGCGTATGGAAGTGTTCCTAACTCAAAACACTGAATGACTCACTTTTCATGTGCTTTCTGACTTTATAATGGATGTGCCACAAGTATGTATATGTTTCTTTATTGTTTGATTATATATCCTGTACTGAACAGGGTGCATCATTTTGTACATTTATTTTTGAATGTAGCATTTTATGTTTTCATCTTCATATTAACAGTTGGCAGGCAGGCCATCTGTGGGTTTTATTGTCCATCTCTGCCACTCTTTTTCTCCATCTGTCTCCTTTCTGTCCGTCCTGTTTATCATTTCTATTCCTTCCATTTTTTTTATGAATGGAAAAAGTATTTTTATAAGACAAAATACTATTTTTTTAATTATTATGTGAATACGTATGATCTGCTTTGAATACTTCCGATATTTTATAAGAGTTGTACATTTTGCACAGCTGCAATGTGTGTTTGTTTTTATTAATTAATGACTATTATGTCATTGTCTTGTGTAATAAAACCCCAATAGAAGTGAAACTCTTTTGTACCTTTTTATCTTACACTCTTAAAAATAAAGTTACTTAAGGGAGGCTTTTTGCACCATATGCCAATAAAAAACTATTTTTGGTTCCCCAAAGAAATTTTCAATGAACAGTTGAATTGAATTCTTTGAATGAACAACATCTTAAAAATGTAGAACCTTTTTCCACTATAAAGAACCTTTGGTAGAATGAAAACATTCCATTGATGTTGAAGGTTCTTCATGGAACCAAAGTGGCAATAAAGAACCTTTATTTTGAAGAGTGCACTTAACTTAAAATGACAGAAAAGTAAGCCATCCCTGGAAAAAAAACAACTCCATTAAAATATTAGCAACTTCCCCAACACTGCTTTTAAATGGTTGTCAGTGGAGAAAAATACCATGATCCTTTGGTCTAAAGCTAACCACATCCTGTGTCGGGCGATATAAGTGGTTTTAAAGAGCATGGGTTCAAATGTTGAGTTGTTGAGGCTCATTTTATTGACACATTATTGCACAAGGGAGTGTAGAAATCTGGCTCAGAGCATCTGTTTACACACACACACACACACACACACTGACCTGCTGTCAGGTTACTGTGCCCTTCTTCCCATATACACACAGTAACCTTTCTTTGCTCACCTTTTTCATACCTACAGCAAAAGTACATCCACTTGTGCATCAGGTATAGCACATTATGCTTAAGTAATAATTTACCACATTTTGTCATCATTTACTAATTTCATGCTTCTGTGGAGGACAATAAACAGATATTTAGCAGAATGTTAATGCTGCTCTTTTACGTTCAATGAAAGTGCTTGGCCACAGGTGCTGTCAAGCTCAAATTTTTTTTATATATATATATATATATATATATATATATATATATATATATATATATATATATATATATATATTTCAAACACCGAAATCTCCTCTGCTGCAGCATTTAAATCTTATTTGCATTCATGTAAATTCAAATATGAATGAAACTGCATCACCACACTAAAAAGTAAAAATTATACACTAAAACTTTGTTAACTGAACAGGGTGCATCATTTTGAAAACTAAATTAACATTGCATATCATTTTACTGTATAATATTGCCCAATCTGTTTTTTTGCAAGTAAAAGCTATAAATTACTGAATAATATATGATGAAAACAGTAAAAGGAAGTCCCTGCGTGAAATATTTTGATAGCCAAAGATTGGTATATTAAAATTATATCACTTTATATCAACATGAAATATACGGTTATGATTTGTACAATTGCAGGCACCAATATGATCCCGTAATACTGGAAAAAACATCATTTGAGTTTGTAAGAAGGTAATATGCCTGACATATTATCAAACCACAGTCAATCTTTTGGTCTGCAGCACTTAATGAAAACAGCCTCCCACACTCTAAACAACTTTGATTTAATTGTTTGGCCTTCTGGCGTCTCCCTTTTGATCAGCTTCATTTTAAAACTGTTACTTAGCAACCCAGAAAAAGACAGAATAGACCGTCCACTTATACAGGGTGCTGAATGATAACTAATTCTATATGTGTACATGCACTTCTGTGTTTATATATCTCTATATGTATCATCATTGGCTTAGTAACGCCATACACTTCGATTTCGGATTTCTGATTGCATGCCATGATGCAAGATTAGCAAACATGCAGATTTGATCACAAAAGCACCATGCGGTGTGAGGTGTTCATCTGCTGGGGCACGATTAGATGTGAATGTGGTGAATGTGGGCGCATGTGTGCTTGAGAGATGCACATGCCAATCTGTGTCAGAGTTACCATGGTGAGGAGGTCCCCCATCAGATATACAGGGTGAGATTATGAGACCCAAAAGAGCAATTGTGCACCTGTCTCACCTGATTCGGAATGCATAATTTGCATTGCTTAATTTATTGAGTGTATGAAACATATGGCCAAAATCTATAAATAATTCAGTATGAATGTCAGCAATTTTTTTGTAAGTAAAAATTTAATTTAAGTTTATGTTTTCATGGCCAAACCCCCAACATTTGGTATCACTGTAAAGCCTCTGTAAGATACTCATGGCCTTAAAATATGACACATAATCGTCTTCATAAATTCCTTCATAAATGTGACCAAAAAAAAAGTAAAAAAAAAAAAAAAAAGTTCTGGGTCGCAGGAGGCTAGAGGACAACTTTGGTAAAAAGTGGCACAGTTTGCCCCACTCTCCCTTAACAGTCAATTCAGGTTCTTCTGAGTAGAGAATACACTACAACTCTGACGTGTGCTAGACGTTGCAGGGGGGAAAGTAAACAGATCCATTCAGATCAGCCTAACCTGGCACCTCTCCTCTGTAATGTTTGAGAGAAACAGGGAGTGAACAGGGGAATGAAGGTCTAAAGGACAAACCAAGCTTCCTTTTAGTCCAGGCGTACGGAGACGAAAATACCTTAATCTGGAAGCCGGGTATGTTTTGCTCTATATTCTTTAATACAGACGACTGTAGAGTTGAAATTAATTACCTTTGCCATCTCATTTCAGTACAATGCGAGTATGCACACGTCGACGTTCACAGACATTGCGTATGTGGCTATTAATCGTCTTCCTGAGTCTGCATTTGCTTGTGGTTTCACTTGTCCTGTCAACATACCACACTACTTGTGAGCCCCGCTCGCACCCTGACATCCAGACCTCCATCAGCTTCTTCATTCAGAATACATCTACTTCAACAAACACAATGGCTACTGCAGGAAGTGACACCCTGGAGGTGGAAATAGACAGCGCAGCAGATGACCTTGCCAAACTGGAGGCTCTGTACTCCCATCCGCTGTATCATATGCCCACCCCACCTGTGCCTGATGGTGATTGGTTGCTGAAAGTCCGAACAAAAAGAAAAGAGGAAGGGAGTAGCATACAGCAGTGGTGAGGACTTAATTACATCATTTATTTTTATTATTTTTGGCTACATGTGGATTTGCTAGTTCTTCTAATCCAGGCTATATAGTAAAACCTATTGTAAATCATAGCGATGATTCATTTGTGAGTGAATTTTGAGTGAGATCTTTTCAATGGCACTGTGTACACCTGATATTAAAATGCGTTTTGTTTGATTGGATGAAAAGTAGACGAGGGAGACATATTCCCATTTACAACATGTTTTAATATGTCTATTTTGTCCACTTGCGACCACTTCTGTCCTGATTTTTACGAAGGGAGGGTCTATTGACGGGTAAATGTATGGGCTTTTTCAGATGTTTCGATCTAATGGACGAAATAAGCTAGAGCAATTTACACACGAGGAGACGAGAGAAAAACATACGGAGAGCAGGATCTTTCGTTTCTGCTCTGATAGCCGCAAGACCACGCCGAACGCTGTGAGTGTGTGTTAGAAATCAGGAATGGTGAGAGAATATTGTGCTTGGTACATTTTTTCGTCTTCAAACCAAATTTGGGTTTTCAGCCTGTAAAGTTTAAATCCTGCCTGGCTAGCACATAATGTTTATGCATTAGGTCAGTAGGGGAGAGTAAACTGTCTTTTGTGGCTGCTAGAACACATTCGACCACATGAGCATTTTCACTATGAAAGCAATCCAATTTGATGCGTTTTCAACTACTTCTGAAAGTGGTCGAAAGTGGACATAAAGCTCAAAACTTTTTTTTTTGAGCCGTAAATTGCCGTTTACACATGTATTTAGCGTTGTCCAATAATCCGATCGACCAAACTGCTTCTTAATACCAGCTGTAAACAGGGCCAATGATTCAGTATAACTTGTTCACAAATCAGTCTGTATCAAGATAATCACGACCGAAAACATTCAATTTGGCGTGATGCAGCATCCTGTCCTCTAGATGTCAGTATAAAGTTCTTTGTGCATAATTACTTGGTGCACCTTCAATTATGACTGCTGTACAGTAAAAAACGCACAAGTGATTCCCATTCTTAGGTTGAGTGCTAATGAGGACGGCTATGATCCTATCCTCTGGAACGCCAGTGCTGTGACACATCCGCCTTGGCTCCGGTTTCACCTTGGTATATCTCGCTGGCAGATGTATCAGCACAAAGATCCCATCCTGTCAGCGCTGACTCAGCAACTGGCCTCCCACCGCATCGTCAGTGCAGGTAGGTGACCTTAAATTTTGCAAGGCAAGGCCTTTATATGAGAAAGAAGGAGGGAGGAGGATTAGAGGTGTATAGACGTTTCCACCTTCCAGTAATGTAATAAGTAAGTAAATTGTGAGACAAAGTTTAAGGTAAAATCCCATTGTGAGATTTAAAAAGCCGTTCAACCATGCAACTCTCAAAATATATAAGTGTTTTGTTGATAAGAATGGAGTGTAGGTAGAATTGATCTTGGAGACATGAGCACATGATGTTTTCTGAGATGATGTTTTCTCCTGAAACATTCTAAAAATTACAGGGATTAGGGAGGTAAAGTAGGAAAAAGCTTTGTAGATGATCTTGACAGGTGGTGCTGGGGAGGAGGAGGGCAAAATAAAATGATGTTGGCTCAGTACTGAACTGGACCAGGTTGAGACGAAAATTAATAAGATTGTGTATAGATAGGAAGGAGAGATGAATTGGTTGAACTTTGTATTTATGAAAAATTAAGTCAAAATTATGAGGTCAACTGTGAGACATGAAATTATGAGAAATAAACATATGCAATTGTGAGATATAAAATGAATATTACATTTGAGAAATAAAGATGCAAATATGAAACAATAAAGTTGTAATTGTGAGATATGAAGTTAATTTACAGGTTTTTATTGTACTTTTCAGTGCAAAAATCAGGTGGGACACAGCTGAAGTTGGTGATGTCATTTCGTAATTATGGACAGGCACTCTTCAAACCCATGAAGTAAGACCCAAGCATGTGCCTCTTAGTATAACAAGTCATTATATTTGTCTATTTGTGTATGTATGTATGAGTATAGTTTAAGTTTTATAGAGACTTTTTCTATTTACATATTAATAATTAAAAGCATTCAGTGCTGTAATGAGTGAGACATTCTGATTTAAACCACAGACTTTTAGACTTTTAAAAACTTAGGGGCGTTTTTGCATTGCACTACACTGCTTTTCCATTGTTTTTTAACATAAACACGTGCTAGACAGACACATGACATGGTGATCTAAAAATGTAGCGCTCAGGTTAAAATAAATGTGCACTTTTTCAATTTGATTGCCCTGTGTCTCACATTTTTAAAAGCAAAAATGGGTTCTGTGTGCACCGGCCCCAACCAGGATTTAAAAACATGAAACACAGGGCAGTGGAATGAAAAAAAGCCATAAGGTATAGAGACAATAAAAAAACAAAACTATTTTGAACTTGAACAGCATTTTTTCCGAATGTTGTGTCAATTGCAACAGTCAAACACTGGAAAATGCAATGAAAAACAATGGCAATGCAGTGCAGTGGAATGCAAAATTGTGCAATGGTTGTTCTATTGAACTATTGAACCACCCCTAAGACATTGTAAGAAAACAGTAAAGTAGCACAGATATGTTAATGTAATTCAAGATCATTCTCGTTCAACTGAAGACAGGAACGGCAGGAGGAGACCAATGTGAATCTGTATTATTTCTCTGACTTTGAGAGGCACAATGCTGAGATCGCAGCCTTCCACCTGGACAGGTAAGAGAGACTGTATATTACATGTACAGCCATATAATTAATTTGTAAGTGAATTGTTTTTATGAGTCAGTTCTTTTCAGTGAATCAGTCAAACTGGTTAACAAATCACTCTGAATGAATAATTAGCTAATCACTGAATCAAAATTATATATATATATAAATAAATCCTTATACAATAATCAAAGCAAAGACGTCCAAAAGTTAATTATCTAAAATTGATCATGTAATATGCAGTGTTTGGGAAAGTTATATTTTTAGAAGTAATGCGTATAAAAGTAACTAATTGCATTAGTTCCCTATCTGTCAATCACGTTCAACGTTACATCAAAAGTGAACTGACGAATTGAGAGCCCAAACAGGGTAAACAAAACAAGCCAATGAACATTGGCAAGCGAGATTTACATCGCGAACCACGCCCCCACAAAGCAGGTATATAAGGATGCACGCTGCACTTGCTCATTAAAACTTTCGCTTCGGAGCTGAATGTTCCATTGATTCTGCTTTGCAATCATCTGTACGAGTGCTCTACAAACCTCTTCGGAAAGAAGCTCTACAGAGAGGGTTGGTGTGACGGCACGTCAGTGGTGGTCGCCATTTAAAGAGACATTTCCTCTGCATTCATTGGAGTCTAAAAAAGTACTTTCTCTGCATTCATTGCTGTTGAAAACGTCTCGGTTACGTATGGTAACCCTCTTTCCCCGAGGTTCCCCGGGAACTGGCGTACGTCAGAGATGCTGACGAATTGGGGATCTCGCTTGAGAGACCAATACACTTCGATCCCCGGGAACTGGCGTACGTCAGAGATGCTGACGAATTGGGGATCTCGCTTGAGAGACCAATACACTTCGATCCCCGGGAACTGGCGTACGTCAGAGATGCTGACGAATTGGGGATCCCGCTTGAGAGACCAATACACTTCGATCCCCGGGAACTGGCGTACGTCAGAGATGCTGACGAATTGGGGATCTCGCTTGAGAGACCAATTCACTTCGAGTGTAAACACAGCTGCTGTTCATCGCGGTGTAGCATCGTGAGAGGTAGGGTATCACCAAAGTGTGGGTTGCTTCACAAGTCGAGTCCAGGCAGAGATCAAGTCACTGGTTTCTTTTTAATAATCAACTCAAAACTCCAAAATGTTTTTAACCAAAACTCTCTTCCAGCTTCTCTTTATGCTCTCTAACAAAAAAACAGCCAGTCTCTCTGTTCTCAGCTCATTAACAGCTTTTCTCCTTCACTCGCAGCTGTGTCCCCGTCGCTAAGGAACCTGGTAACTGTAGTCCAGGACCAGGTGGCCATTTTGGTTTGTAGTCCCCATTGCTGCAACCACCTAGATGGCACATAACTTGCCTCTGTGACATACCCTCTCACGATGCCACAGCGGCGTGAGCATATAAAGAGCAGCAGGTGTGTCACATCTTTGTTTTTCCGCTAAGGAGCCAGACTTGTGACTCAGCCGTACAGCGGAAGCTCAGCAACTGTGGCGACGAGACATACGTCTCCATTCCCTCCTTGGGGAACGAGGGTTACCATACGTAACCGAGATGTTCCCCTTCGTCAGTCACTCTCTACGTACAACAGAGATGCTGGCGAATTAGGTATATCTGACAACACGCCACTGCTGCTGGCCCTTCCAGCGCTCCGTTTGAGTCTCGTGGCCAGACTGCCGTATTGGGCAGAAATAGGAGCTCTAAGTAGAGAAGGTCAATCACTGCTGTTCCGCAAGATCCACTTAGTGTGACTTATTGGATAACGCTGGGAAAGCGTACCCATGGAGAAGGGGACGCTGCGAAAGCCACGTCCTACCCTGGAGGGAGGTACTGTGGCGGTTACACATATGGACTAGTCGAGCAGGGTAGTTCAACATATGGCAGTCTCTGGGGTAGACGCAACATCTGAGTGCTGCAGGTGTGATGGAGGAACTCACCAGGATTAGCCAATTCTGGGGAACAATACTGGAGGAAATAGACGCACGTATCCGGCCCAGCGGGTGGGAGTGGCGTTGCAAGCCGACACTAAGAACGGGTCCACTGGGGGCGAGTACATGGGAAGATACCGGCTCAGTACGGAGGCTATAGAATCTAGCGAACGTCTTGGTGTCGCTTTAACCCGCAGCTCTACATATATCTGTCAGCGAGGCGCCTTGAGCCAGCGCCCAGGAAGAAGCAACACTTCTTCAACCCGAACGAGCAAGGCATGTCTTGGGACTGATACGCCAAGACAATAGCATCCACTATCCAGTGGACTAACCTCTGCTTGGAGACAGCCTTTCCCTTCTGCTGGCCTCTGTAACAGACAAAGAGCTGGTCTGAGGTCCTAAAGCTTTGCATTCTGTCCACGAACAACTGCAAGGAGCGGACGGGACAGAGAAAAGCCAGGGCTGGGTTTGCCTCCTCCGAAGGTAGCGCTTGCAGGTTCACTACCTGATCCCTGAAGGGAGTGGTAGGAACCTTGGGCACGTATCCAGGCCTGGATCTCAGGACAACGTGAGAGTTGGCCGGCCCGAATTCTAGGCACGATTCGTCGACCGAAAATGCTTGCAGGTCCCCTACCCTCTTGATGGAAGCCAGAGCAGTCAGGAGTACTGTCTTTAATGACAGGATCTTTAACTCAGCTGACTGCAGTGGTTCATAGGGAGGTTTCTGCAGTGCACTGAGCACCAGAAACAGGTCCCAAGAGGGTATAGAGGGGGGTTGGGCAGGTTGGGGGGGGGGGGGGGGGGTTGTGGATGGGGCGAGGCGGATGTAGTCTCCTCGCTCCCCTCAGGAACCTGACGATCAGGTCATGCTTTCCCAATGACTTACCTTCAACTGCATCATGATGTGCGGCAATAGCGGCAACATACAATTTGAGGGTGGAGGGAGACAGCCTTCGCTCCAACCCCTGTGTAACACTACCTGGTTCAGGGTGGGGCAGAGGGTGCGTGGAAAGGCCTGGTGTGGTCCCCGATACACATGCACATGACTATTGACTCTCAGTCAATAAATTAGAAAAGAACTTATTTATTTGAAAAGGGATTGTAATAAGATATTTTGTTGTAAATTTAAAAGGAATGTGTTACTTTACTAGTTACTTAGATAGTTTTAGCAAGTTACATAATCAGATTCATAGTTAAAGTAATCTGATTATGATTATGGAACTTGCACTACTTGTAATGTGATACCCCCACACTGGAAATAAGATCACGTGACAATAAAATTACAGCTATTTAAAACTGTTTACCTTTGAATATTTTCTGTTATTTTACACAAAAAAGGTTTATAGTAGACATTATACTGCACATTCTGTATTCAATTCTGAACATAACTCTTTTTCTCTTTCACATTAAGGATACTGGGTTTCAGGAGGATACCTCCAGTGGTTGGGAGGCTTATTAATATGATAAAAGAGATCAAAGATATCACCACTGACCATAGACTGGTTACAACATTTTTCACGTCCCCAGGTTCGTCCCACTTGACTCTTCTCCATCACTTCCTCTGATGCGTGGTGTATTTGTAAGTCACCATCTGTCTTTCTCTTTCTGCAGTGGGGAATGTGTGTTTTTATGGCCAGTGTTCCTATTACTGCTCCACGGAGCATGCTATCTGTGGGCGTCCCATCATGATTGAGGGGTCTTTGGCTGCTATGCTGCCAGACCCGTCGTTGGCACAGCGCCGCTCGTGGAAGAGCCCCTGGAAGCGTTCCTACAGCCGAAGCAATCTGGCTCTGTGGGTGGAGTGTGTGTTTGTGTTATTTAAAGGGATAGTTCACCCAAAAATAAACACTTTGTCATCATTTACTCACCCTCAGGACATTCTAAATCTGTATTATTCTTCTATTGTACACAAAATAAGACATTTTGGACATTTTTGGTATTTTCTTTTCTAATACAGTGAAAGTGAATGGGGTCCAAAGTTGTTTTCTGGACCCATTTGACTTTCAAAGGTTTTTTTTTTACGTTCGTCTTTGTTGTGTTTTTGTAAATATTTCAGTGTGATTCGTAATTGAGGAACCACAGTAGCTAACCGATGATTATTTCTGTAACAGGTGGGAGACAGATACCAACTACTGTGACTCAGTAAAAAAGTCTCCTCCCTACGACCGAGGCACTCGATTGGTGGATCTGATTGACATGAGCATTCTCGACTTTCTCATGAGTGAGTAATGGATCAGTTAAGATAACTCAAGGGTGAACACTTACAAAAAAATACTATAGCTTTCTATGTATATCACAGAAATACCATGTTTTTGGACTCGAACCATGACATTCTTTGAAATACCTTGCTTTCATTGAGCTGATGTAACCCATCATACTACTCTCTTTTTTAAAATATTCATGTTTTCCTGATACTTTCCATCTACCATCTTCAGGTAACATGGATAGGCACCACTATGAAACATTTGAGAAGTTTGGCAATGACACATTTCTCATACACTTAGACAATGGAAGAGCGTGAGTATTCAAAATCAGGAGTCCAAGAGGTTTTCTGACAAAGTTTTGTTTGGCTCAGTTTGAATGGGCGTGATGCTTCTGTGTGCAACTTATGTGTGTGTTGTAGGTTTGGACGTCACTCCAAAGATGAACCTTCTATTTTGGCTCCTCTTGTGCAGTGCTGCAGGTAGAGTGAACATATTGTAAGTAACAATTTAAAGGGGGTTGTGTTTTTTATCAGCTTCTTATTTCCTCGTTCTTTCCCTCAGGATCCGTCGTTCCACGTTGCTTCGTTTACGTCTGCTCTCTCTCCCGATGTATCGGTTGAGCGATGTCATGCGTGCATCTTTGTCTCAGGATCCCCTTGCGGCAGTGGCACCCCTCCTTACTGAGCCACATCTTTTGGCTCTTGACCGTCGCCTGGCAACAGTCATTCAAACCATCCAGGACTGTCTGGAGCAACATCAACATCACAGTGATGTCATATATGATGACATCACTGATTACCCTGGGGCTTGATGTGATATTATTTAGATCTATGTTGTGTTGTATAACAAATCAATGACACATTATAGGGTTGTAAATTAATGTTAAATAAAGTGGATTATAACCATCTGCGACCAGTTGCTTGTTGCATGATTTGAGACAAAATTGAAAACAAAATGTTTGCAAGTAACATATAAATCATGAATATTATATAAGTACCAAACTCTCAGAGTCAGCAAAGCCATCTCAGCTGGCATAACAGGTAAGCCTATTTAAATATATAAATACATTATCCAACTGTTATTCTATCTTCATATTATCGTCAGTCTAAATGTTAGATCATTCAGAATTTATTTACAAGCAAAGCACGAATCTGAGCTTACTTACTAGATTCAATGTGAAAGTATTACAATATAAAAATATAGCTGCGAGCAGCCATTAGCGGGGCCAAGCGCAAGAAGAGCATAAGACATGCAAACATGGCTGGGAGTATCAGACCAACTGCAGCAAGGAGCAATTAAAGACATTTAAAGATGTATTTCAGCAAAATGGCTAAAAAATCATATACATTAACTAAAAATATGATTTAATGGATTATCACTTTCGACCAATAGGTGGTGTAGTTACAGAATCGATGTGATGTGATCAGAGTGAGGTGACAATGACACTTACAAAGTTTGGTGTCAAAATGTCATGTTAATGCAGATATAAAGCCTGAATAGTCATTTTGGCATCATACCTCAAATTTGCTGCTGCGGAATACGGGAAAAGTTTTATCTATCAACACGAAATCCATAACATTTAGTCGGCACGGTCTGGAGATGATACGATTCGATTTTAGTGAAAATCGGACAAACGGTCTAGGAGGAGTAAGAAAAAGTAGGAATTGAATGATAATCAAGATGACGGACAGGAAGTATGGCCAAATACGGCAAACTTAGTATCTATGTTCTCAGCATAACCCAAGGAATCTATTAAGACCAAAGTCATTACAATAGGAACATTTATTCAAAAGTTATTAGCATTTTTGTGCATTAATTATAACTTTTGACCAAAAGGTGGCCCTGTCTCAAAATATTTTGAGTACCTTCTGGGCATGCTGCTGATGGCACATACTGAGTTTTTATAATGTTACACCAATGCATTCATTAAGTATAGCATTGTAATCACAAAACTATTGAATTCAATGGAAATTTCATGTTTTGTTCTATTATAGCGCCAACACCTGGCACAATCCCATAATTTTTTTCATGTCACCTCAGAGTGAGCCCATACAGGTGTGTGTCAAATATGGTGAAAATATCTCATTTAGTTTTGGAGTTATAGACATTTATATGTATAAACACAAAAAAAATTACTGACACCTGACTTTGATTGGATTTTATTACCACTTACTATCAATATTTTGACATTTCGGCAATATTATATGGCCAACGACCTAAGTTTCCAAACTTCTGATGGTGGTTTCGTCTCGATCGGTCTAACGGTTTCGAAGATATTAGCAATTGTTTTTTAAGTGCTAAATCACAACGCTACACAAACCGTAAGGTGTAACCTAGCATGGGTGGTATCGTTGGACTCGGCAAGGATTCAGGAGCCCAAGGAGATGATTCCTGTGAAAATCAGTCAACCACACTCAGAGTTATAAGCATTTGAAAATTGTATTTTACCACTAGGTGGCGCTGTTTCGAAACTTCTCAGGCTCCTTCAGGGCATCGTACTGATGACCCATACCGAGTTTCGTAACAATCCGTTCATGCGTTCAGAAAATACAGCTTTTTGGAACATAATTCAACATGGCCGATCTGGGAAAATTGGATATCAGTCGACTCGGCCTGACGCCCTGAATCCAACGTTTTGGATTCATGATTTTGGACAAAGCGTTCAGAAGTTATAAGCAAAAATAGCCATTTTCAAGTTTGGTCTGAATACGATAAAGCGTTGCGGAGATACAGCCTTACGTCTGTTTTTGCAAGCGCTACGTAAAATGTGTTTGTGCTATTTATCGAAAACGGTTTGACCATAGGTTCTCAAAGTGCGGCCCGCGGGCCAATGGCGGCCCGCCGAAACATTTCTAGCGGCCCGCGATAACATCTGTAAAACTGTTAAAACTATTGCTTTGAAAAAATGAATATCTCCGTTTAGTGGTGTTTAGCGGCATCCATAGGCATAAGCGGTAATTACATGATCGCACTTGACCTCACTCCCAAGGCCACCAGGAACAGTGGTTGTCTACACAGGAATAGGAATCGTGGCCAACCGAAACCAGCACCACAAATCCCATTGCAATTTAAAAGGGTATGTTGACCAAGTAATCAATATTCAATGTGACTTAATAATAATCTTAACAATGTCAAGCTTATTAATAGCCGCGTTTCCATTACCTTTCAAAATGTTCGCGGGCGCGAACACTTGCATTTTCCTATCAACAGTGGAAACAACTTAAACTAGTCTATCATTTCTGGTCATACAGAAAATAATAATGCATTATTCGCAACTACTTTTATTTGTGTAAACTCATAACAAGAAAACGTGCTTTTGTAAAATAAAATAAAACAATCAGTAGCCTAGGCTACTACGCGCTTTCATGATCTCCGTGAACTGGAGCGCGAGAACTGAAACAAAATATAGCCTATGTAGGCTAAAGCTTAAAATGTGCACTTTTAAACAAACAAACTCGAATCGAAAGCAAATACCTGATTATGTAATCCGTATGAAAGGTGGATTTCTCTCTAATGCAAATCTGCAATAATGGAAACGCGACTGACAAGCAATGATAGAAATGAATGATGATGATGACTTGTTTGGTAAGCTTCTATTTTAAAAGTTTCTTTCTCTCCCCCCCAAAATTTTCACAAGTTTTGCCAGGTTTAGCCTCAGTTATGAATTAAAATGTGTTTATTGCAACTAATGTAAACTGTAGAGATGCAACCTGGTCATTAAAATAATTTCAAATGGGATTTTCTTTTCAGTTTTTTTTTCTTCGTTTTCTCCCCCGCCACTTTGGCGGCCCTCAGTTCAATGTTGGATTCCTAAATTGGCCCTCACCTATCAAAACTTTGAGAACCCCTGGGTTTGACGAATCGACTTGAATTCAATACTTTTTTGTCGCCATGGTCTGGAGATGATCTGGTTCGATTTTCGTGAAAATCGGAGCATCGGCCTAGGATGAGTTCGAAAAAGTAGTTTTTTTTGGAGAATTCAAAATGGCGGACAAATTACCATGACGGAAAATGATGTCATAGGGTGCAATTGAATCGTTGTGAGCCAAGGAATCAGGGGAAAAAAGAATTTTGTTTCTAGCCCTTATGGTAAATGGACTGCATTTATATAGCGCTTTCACAGACCCAATGGCCACCAAAGCGCTTTAAATTTTGCCTCACATTCACCCATTCACTCTCTCATTCATACACCAACGGCGGTGTCAGCCATGCAAGGCGCCATCCAGCTCGTCGGGAGCATCTGTGGTTAGGTGTCTTGCTCATGGACACCTTGACACTTGGTCAGGTGGAACCGGGGATTGAACCACCAACCTTTTGGTTTGTAGACAACCTACATGAACCACTGAGCCACTGCCCAGCACAAACATGAGTGACAGTTGGTGGCGCTAGTGGGATTGAGTTAGAGACTCCAAATTTGCTATGGTGACAGTTCAGACTATCCTCTATCTGTGTGCCAAATTTCATAACGTTCCCGCAAGCGGTTCTATATGGGCTACCATAGACACCCAGTCAGAAGAAGAAGAAGAAACGGAAGAATAATGATAATAAGAATCGGAACAGATACAATTGGTGCCTCCGCACCTTCGGTGCTTGGCCCCTAAATATATTTAATGTTAATTACAGAAAAAGTGCGATGAATTAGTTAATATTTTTTTAATCGATTGACAGCACTAAATACGATATATTTAATAGTTCTTGAGTTATAGGCATACAAACTTTGGAGAGAAAACATGTGATTTCCTTTTTCCCATTTTTGAACTGTCACCGTTGGCGTATAATGGAACAAGGCTTGCTAAAGCAACAGATATTAGTAAAAGAGTTACTAATCTCTAAATGTCAGAAATTTTTATCTGTTTATGACAAAGGAAGATTATTTTAGGTTGTAAAATGTCATGTGGTGCAACTCCTCCAAAACTGAATGTTTATGAATTAATATGACGTTTCATTAAATCGTTCAATTAACTTGAGAATAGTGTAAAGGTCTTCAAAACCATATGAAATCAAAAAACTATTTTCTGTAAATTTGAAACATGTTTTAAACAAGATTTGTCATTGACTCAACTGTTTGGGAAATGTAAAGCCTAAAAGTGAACTTGAAGCTATAAAACATGAAGATGCTCATGTAGTGGATACGGTCGTTGCACAACAACAAGTAGGTTTTTTTTAGCTTCAGAAAAAGGAAGGAAATGATATCATCTGTTTGCCTGGTCATCTTCAGACGTTGACAGCACTTTTGCAACAGCACACAACTTCTTCATAGCTGGAGAAATCTGCAACATGTAAGTATGTAAATCTCTCATTAAAATTTGTTTTAAGAAAATTGTTAAATTGACATTTCCTTAACCATGGTCTAACTTTAAACAAATACAATTCATGAAGGAGTTATTTAGATAAATGAGTTGAAATTAATGAGTGCCTCTTTCCACATTTTTTTTTTTTTCGTTCTGGACAAACAAGTGAATTATTTTCAAAGTTTAAGCATGGACTTCAGACTCATATCACTGATCCTACTTATACACATCTCGGGTAAGATTATTGTGTTAATGGATTGTAGTGTATCAATGTCTTATCAAAATTAAAACATTTTAGACATTTTAGACATGAAGGAGAGATGCCCCACTTCTGTCATGTGGTTTGTCATAGAGGATCTTTCCTTCGTCAATGCAAACTTTTTGGTCTAAGTGTTACCTTTTTCATCAGGTTCTCTAACATTGGACTGCCTCTCGGTGACCAGTGAAGATGTTTGTGCTCTGAGCGAAAGCCCTGTGCAGCTGAGATGTTCTTATTCCAACTTCAAAATCAAAACTGTGTTCTGGTTCAGCCAGAAACAGAGTACAAACTGGAGAAAGAATGATGAACCTGAAGACTTGACTTTAGACTCGGACTACTCAGGACGGGTGAAGCAGGAGGTCTTAAAAGACCGTTCAACACTCACAATATCAGACCTGAGAGAGAGAGACTCTGGAGAATATCAGCTCATGTTCATCATGAAGGATGGAGTTAAACATCTCAGCTCAGTCGCCGTCAATCTAACAGTCCCAGGTGAAACTGAGTCTAGATTCTGGTCACTTCAGCTGCTTTCTTTTGTCATGTGATGAAGTATTTCTTATTTTTGTACTTTAATTCAGTCCTGCAGGTGAGAATGAATCCTACAGACCCGAGAGATCAGAGTATAAAACTGACCTGTGATTTTTCCTGCACCGCTGGAGCTGAGTATTATTACTGGATGAAGGATGGAAAGTATTACAGAAGTACAGTGTCTCGAGACATATTTGTGTCACCCAGCACAGAGGCTGGCAGATATTCCTGTGATCTTGATACAAACTTAAAACATCGCTCCTCTACTGTGTGTGAGTGTCAAATAATACACACAATGCGGTACCGTTTGTTCATCCATGTGTATATTTAAACATGTTTTAAAGTAAGTGTGAGTTTTACATGTTAATCTGTAACTCTTTCAGGTATTTCTAAGAGTGGCTGCTGGGATGTGTCTTACTCCTCTAGAAGAGTCTGTGCTTTGATGGGCTCAACAGTAGATATTTCCAGCACATACTCACATCCCTCTGGTTATACTGTAAATAAAACATTCTGGCATTACGTTCAGCCTGGTGACTTCAGTGATCTGCGTGAGGAGCTTCAGTTTGCTGGTCGTGTGGAGTATGAGGGAAACACACTGAGAATCAAAGAGCTCAAGATGAACGACTCTGGAGAATATAAATTCAGGATCATCACTGACACAGCAGAAGGAAAATACTCTGGATCACCTGGAGTCATGCTTACTGTCACAGGTAACTGCTTATTCAAAATTGAGTTCAAAATGTTTCCTATATAATTTCTAATAGGCTTTTGTGTGTGTGTGTGTGTGTGTGTGTGTGTGTTCTTCAGATACGACAGTGATAAGCAGCCCAAACATTATATCAGAGGGACAGGAAGTGATATTAAGCTGTTCAACTAAATGCACTCTGAACAACAATCATATTTACATCTGGTACAAGAACGGACGACTCGTAACGGATGGATTCACTAAAGCCAACAAGCTGTACCTGGACTCAGTCAGCAATGAAGATCTTCAAGAGTATTCCTGTGCTGTAGAAGGTGACACTTCTCTCATGATACATGTGCTTTAGTCTGAAATGATTGCTGCATTAAGATGATGCACTTGATATGTAATTATAGTTTTGATGTTATAAGCGTATTTTTAATTTTTGTGTATCTGTAACTTGTGTCTTATGCTAGAAAGTCCAGAGACGAAAACACCTTTACTGAACGCCGTAATCATACTGTCCGTGTTTCTGATCATTGCACTCATAGGAGTCCTGTGGTATAGGTAAAAAATTGTTTCTATTATGTATTCTATTTTTTCCTGAGGTCCATTTGTAATATTTGTCAAGGGAAAAAGTTGCATTATCATTTCCACCCTCTCTCTTACTCTGAAATAAACAACCATTTTTTGCCACTGTCATAACCCGGCTCAAAGGCCATGACAAATTCAAAGAGGACGCGAAAGATTGCCAAAAGTAAACATTTATTGTAATAACTTAAACAATAAAACTAATAAGTAACAGCAAGTAGCGCGTGTTGGTCAGTGACATCAGTGATGTAAATGTGGATGAGTGACTGTTGCAAAGTTGAGTGTTGAAAAATAAAGGTAACAGAACATAATATAATCAACAACAAAACAAAGATGTGCTGCTGGCAGGAGTGAGACCAGGTCAGAGAGAGCGAGAGATTCAAAAGGCCGGAGTATTTATCTTCCCACAGCATCTAGCGCAGGTGCTCCCAATCTGGTGCTGATACCTTCATAGCTGATACCCCCCCCCCCCCCCCCCCTTAAAGTCGGTGTCCCCAAGGACCACCGACCTAGCAGTAACACCTAACAACACTACTCCACATATCTAAATAACCTAAACTACATCAATATGACACAAAGACGATATCTGACCTCCGTCCCAGCCACTTCACCTGCAAATTTCCCCATCTATGCTCATCAATCCCGGAACCTGAAAAACAGATTAAGAAAATAAATACAGAAGAAACAGATATAGAAATAAGAGGCAAGAGTACAAGAGGCAACATCAACTTGGAGCCCATACTAATCCCCATCACTGCAGAGGAGCACGAGACAGTGCATCTGCAATAATATTCTCTGACCCCTTTATATATTTAATGTCCAGGTTATAAGCCTGGAGAAACAATGACCAACGGGTCAATCTCTGGTTGGGACATCTGAGCGACCGCAAAAAAGTTAGTGGATTGTGGTCAGTATAAACCACAATCGGCCCTCCTGCTGCTACATAGACATCAAAATGCTGTAAGGCCCAAATAAGTGACAATGCCTCCTTCTCAATCACGGAGTAATTACTCTGATAACTGTTAAATTTTCTAGAGAAGAAACTAACTGGTCTCACCAAACCTTGATCATCCCCCTGGAGTAACACAGCACCTGCTCCCACCTGACTGGCATCCACTTGAAGCATAAAAGCTCGATCAAAACAAGGAGCTGCCAGAACAGGAGCAGAACACAACAGCAATTTCACATTATCAAAGGCTTGTTGACAACCAGCCGACCAAACAAACTTAATCTTGGTCTTGAGCAGTTCGGTAAGAGGAAACACCACAGTGGAGAAGTTTTTACAAAAACCTCTATAATAACCCACTAAACCCAAGAACCTCTGAAGCTCCTTTTTTGTGGTGGGTTGTGGATACTCTGCTATTGCCATGACTTTGGCCTGGACTGGAGCCACACGGCCCTGTCCTACCACCCGGCCAAGATATGTCACTGTGGCCATGGCAAAACTACACTTAGCCAAATTGATGGTGAGGTGTGCTTCCACCAAACGCTCAAACAAGGAACGAATGCGCTGAAGATGTGAATGCCAGGTGTCACTATAAATGACCACATCATCAAGATAAACAGAACAACCTGCCAAACCAGACACTACCCGATTCATCAACCGCTGAAATGTTGCGGGGGCATTTTTTAACCTAAATGGCATCACATTATACGAATATAAACCCAAAGGTGTAGTAAACGCAGAAACTTCCTGTGCACGCTTGGACAAAGGCACTTGCCAGTAACCTTTAAGCAAATCAAATTTGCTAACAAATTTGGCAGATCCCACCTGATCTATGCAGTCATCCATGCGTGGAATCGGAAAAGAGTCTGATTTTGTGACCGCATTAACTTTCCTAAAATCTGAGCAAAATCTTGGTGTGCCATCATGTTTTGGCACCAAAATACAAGGGGAGGCCCAACTAGATGCAGCAGGAACAGCAATATCATTTTGGAGCATGTAATCCACCTCAGCATCCAAATAACTTCGTTTACCTGGTGCCACACGATAAAAATGCTGTTTAATTGGCTGAGCATCTCCAACATCTATATCATGCTCAATCCAACTGGTACGTGAAGGAATGTCACCAAACAGACAAGGACACTTGTGTATCAACTCAGCCAATTCCCTACATTTAGACTCAGGCAAATGAGCCAACAACTTATCCAAATTAATAAGAGACTCTGAATTTTTCAGTCTCCCACAGAGCACGCTTTCGTCTGGCTCCGGCACCCCATCTGACTCCTGCGACAACACCTCTGAAATTACCAACAATGCTGGACAGACAACATTCTTCCCATCTTGACATGAATCAATCTCTACACGCTTGTAATAAGGTTTAAGAAGATTAACATGATAAAGTCGTTGAGCCTTCTTACGTCCTGGTGTCTCCACAATATAGTTCAACTCTGAAATTTTCTCACTCACAGTGTAAGGACCCATAAACTTAGCTTGAAAAGGTGAGCCCACAATGGGCACTAGTGCAAGGACCTGGTCACCTGGACTAAACTCCTGTCTCTCGGTGCGTCTGTCATACAACTTTTTCATTTTACTCTGCGATACCCCCAATTTCTCTTGTGCCATACACCCAGCTTTAAACAAACGGTGTCTGAACCCATTCACAAAGTCAATCAGATTTTTCGATGGCTCAGTATCAACACAGCCACTTTTCAAGACAGCCAAAGGACCCCGCACTGTATGCCCAAAAACCAAGTAATTTGGGCTAAAGCCTGTACTTTCCTGTACAGCTTCCCGCGCTGCCAACATGAGCCACGGGAGCCCGTGCTCCCAGTCTCCATCTAGCTCTGTACAATATGCGCGCAATAGAGACTTGAGCGTCTGATGGAACCTCTCCAAAGCACCCTGGCTTTGCGCATGATAGGCCGAAGACTGGTTTTGTTTAATATGTAATAGCTTCAACACTTGACAAAACATATGTGATGTAAAATTTGACCCTTGGTCGCTCTGGATCACCTCAGGGATGCCAAATATGGAAATGAACTGTGTTAAGGCCCTAACGACTGACTTAGTTGTAATAGACCTTAACGGGTACGCGGCTGGGTACCTGGTGCTCTGACACATAACCGTCAGTAAATATTTACAACCAGATTTAGCAGAAGGCAATGGACCAACACAATCAACAATAAGGTGTGTAAAAGGTTCCCTTACCGCTGGAATAGGCTGCAATGGCGCAGGTTTAATACCCTGATTCGGTTTACCTGTAAGCTGGCATACATGACAGGTCTTAATATACCCAGACACATCCTTTTTCAGTCGAGGCCAAAAGAAATGTTTTAGGACATTGAGGTACGTTTTACGGACACCAAAGTGCCCACACTCGTCATGTGCCACCTTCAAAACAACGGGACGAAACTTCGCTGGCACGACTACCTGAAAAACATCCCCTTTCACACCATCTTCACTCACTGGAACCCATTTTCTGAACAGCAATTCCTTATGCAAGAAATAACCCGATGCCACATTACCAATCTCCAAGGCAGGCAGCACACACCGGAACATTTCCTTTAAAGAAACGTCATTGCGCTGCTCTTGAATAACCTCACTAGGAGACAGTGACAAGGGCAACTCAGCCAGAGATGGGACCTGCAAAGGTACATCAACACAGTTAGATTCAGGGAACACATCAAGCTGTAATTTATGCATGGCACGTGTAACCACACAGGCCGGAGAAACTTCCTGCAATGCACCAGAATTCGAACCCGACACAAACTCAGATGGATGTAATGTGCCTATTGGTGATGCAGGAGGAGTGCCAGCCCAAACTCTACTACCAGCCAAACCGTTCCCTAAAATAAGATGTATACCCTCAATAGGTAACGTTGAAAGTACACCCACAACAACCTCACCTTGAACCAGTTCACAGTCAAGAACCATCCTGTGCAAAGGTGCTGGAAACACACTCAATCCCATCCCACGACTGAGAACAAAGTCACCAGTATCTGTGTCCCCAGCGAAAGGCAACACAGAGCTTACAATGTAGGAGTTGTAGGCCCCCGTATCCCTCAAAATCTTTAATGGGATTTTTACCTTACTCCCCACCAGTGATACAGACCCATCTCGAATGAAAGGAGCATAAGATGCCAAAACATCGGATTCACAAATGGGAGCTAAGCTCACCTCAGCAACACAGTCGGTATTCACGGTTGCAGCAAATGCCACAGGTCTAATATTGGCTTTCGTTCCCTTTGTCTTAGCCTTTAATACAGCACAATCCACCTTCCAATGACCCTTTTCATGACAATAGTTACAGACATCATCAAATGTACGATTTATCCTAATGTCAGGTTTCATATTACCGACTTTCCTCCAACTCACCATATCCGACGGCGCATCAACGCCACTACGTCGCGGACCAAAATCAGAAGCTACATGACGCTCCCAAAAACTGCTCTTATGGAGTAAGACATACTCATCAGCTGCAACAGCAGCGTTCCCAACGGTAACAACTTCTCGCTCCGAGATGTATGTGGAAACACGTTCTGGCAGAGTATTTTTAAACTGTTCCAATATTACCAAATCACACAAACCCTCAAAGGTGGTGACTTCAAGTGCAGTTAACCAACGCCTAAAGTGAGTTGAAAGATCTCTGGCAAACTCGGCATATGTCTGGCCTTTTTCTTTTTCCCATGACCTAAAACGTTGGCGATATGCTTCTGGCACAAGCTCATAAGCTCTAAGAATAGCTGCTTTTATTTGATCATAGCTAGAGCTATGTTCAGGATTTAAAGACGCATACGCTTC